GGTGTAATTGAAACCGTTACCAAAACCACCTGAGAATCTGTCCCATGTTCAGCTTGTGATAAAAGATCTGATGCAACATATGCTGGAATGCTTGTGTTATCAGCTATCACTAAAAGTTCAGATGGACCAGCTGGCATATCAATTGAAACCATTGCAAAACAGTAATATAACAGTGGGCGTTTTAGGACAATTTGGGTGTAAAAAAATAAAACATATTGTTTTTCTATAGATTTCAGTCTTTTTACTATGTTTCTGATAAACTTATATAAAATCTCTATGCAGTGTATTTTTTTATATATGACACCTTGTAGTGTATTTTTTTGATATCTATTTTGATTACTATTTAGTTTTCTGACGCGGAGGAGCATAGCGACTCCGTATGCGGAGCGAAGCGGAGCATAGTTATCTGTTTAGTTCACAATTAGCTTTCTAACACTAAGGAGCTCACACCTTAAGGTGTGTGCAACGCAGTTGCGGAGCGAAGCGGAGCATAGTTATCTTATTTGATTGCTAATTAGCATTCTATCACTGTGAGCATAAACCTTTAGGGGGAATGCGAATGGTGTATTTTTTGATATCCTATTTGATCACTATTTAGTTTTCTGTTATTGTGAGCACATCCTCTCATTTTTGATGAAAAAAACTCGATTGCGACGTCAAAATCAATGATGATATGACACCTTGTAGTGTATTTTTTATTAAACTATTTTTGATTACTATTTAGCTTTCTGACCCAGAGGAGCATAGCGGAGCATAGTTATCTTATTTGATTACTAAAACATTTTCTGTCCTGGAGGCGCATAGCGACTCTGAATGCGAAGCGTAGCGGAGCATTAGTTATCTATTTAGTCAACAATTGGTTTCTTAACACTAAGGAGTATACACCTAAGGTGTGAGCGATGCAGTTGCGGAGCGAAGCGGAGCATAGTAATCTTTTAGTTATCAATTAGGTTTCTATGGTAAAAAAGATAGTTAAATTTTATTGTCTTGCAGGCCCGAAGGGCGACTCGAAGAGTCATGGGTGGTCTTCAAGCATCTGAAGTTGTCGAGCATAAAATTTCATGACATAATATCCTTTAGAATGTTTTTTGCAACATCCACAAGCAGAAGCTGTAGGTTTTCCACAATCACCACATAAAACACATTTTTTAGATCTCCAATGTTCATGGCACCCTTCAGGACGTTGACACCCACGTCCGCAGACTTCACCAGAATTGTGTATATATTCGCATGTATATTTACCCACTGACTTTTCGATATATTCACCCACTGACTTTTCAATATATTTTCCTCCTGACTTTTCGATATATGTGGTATGGCTGAAAAGTAATGAAGAATCATTGTATTACTCAATAATATGTGGGTATACCTAAACAAAGTTATGATTTACTGAAAGTAGTACCATCGATATATTTGAGGAAAAAAAATTGGCGAAATTTGATTGACTGGTTCATAAAAAAATATTTTTTGAATTTCCTCATCAAAAACAAATGGAAAATTCTACTCGTGAACATCAACGTTACTATATTTTTGTTGAATGGAAGAATGGCACTTCAGTTGCTGATATTCATAAAAAGCTAATAGTTGTAGAGGGAGACAAAGCACTGTCTAAAAGTACAATTTATCGCTGGATTGAGGCATTTGAACTGGGCCAGCAAACCATTAAAGACGAAATTCGTTCTGGTCGTCCCCATGATGCTGTCACCCCAGAAACAATTGGAAGGGTGGAGGATTTTATTAATGAAAATCCTCATATAACTACACGAGAACTAGCGGTAGAAGTTGGAATCT